AAACATGTGGGACCTTGTGCTTGCAAAGCAGGCAGTGGAACCACTGAGCTAAATGCCCAGCCCTCTGGGCTGTGGTTTCTACTGTGCAACCCTCAGGACCCCTTAGGTTGGTGACTATTTCTGACTTCTCCCTTACTTGAAAGTTATTTTGTTTTGTTTTTTTTTTTTTTTTTGATACCAGGGATCAAACTTGGGACCTTGTGCTTGCAAAGCAGGCAGTGGAACCACTGAGCTAAATGCCCAGCCCTCTGGGCTGTGGTTTCTACTGTGCAACCCTCAGGACCCCTTAGGTTGGTGACTATTTCTGACTTCTCCCTTACTTTTGAAAGTTATTTTGGAGAATGTGGAGCACACCCACGAGAGACCAGTAAGATAAGACTCCATGTCCCACCTTCCAGTCCCCAGACCACGGCGTGAGCCATGACAGCTCACCTAGACCACCACCAACCACCAACCTTCCTTCAGTAGGACTTTAAGCAATTCTAGACAGGGATCATCCATATCCAGTTAAGAAATTAAAAAGTAAAACTTTACAAAGCATCATTCAAACAGCACTTTGCACCTAAATGAACAGCATTTCTTAATATCAGACTGTGCAGCCCACAGAGGTGTGAAACAAGCCCTGGCCTTGAAATCTGTACTGAGGTGCACGGGGGAGCAAGGGGGGCTAAGAGGTCAGATGTCAGCCCCACCTCTGCAGAACCCTGGAGGATCTGCATCCAGGGACGAGGGTGCTGGGGAGGTGGGACACGGGCCCCTACCTCTGTGACCATCCCTCTTCCTGTAGCCATTTTGATTTATATTCATTAATTCATTTCATTAATCCATTTGTTTGAATGGTATGAGCAGAGCGGCAGAGCCCCAGGAGCCCGGCAGGGAATATGACATGTGGGCCAAGCTTTCCAGTCACGAATGTATTGGAAAATAGGCCAGCGACAGAACCAGGTATCTCAGCTCTCTCCAACCTGGAAGGACAGAGTTATGGCCCCAAACTCCAGTCCCCATTTGGAGGTCAGGTGGTAGCAGCCTTGCAGGTGGGGGGCAAGGGCTCCCACTTGACAGCAGTACAGGGACAGGAGCACAGTGTTGCAGACACACCCTGGTCCTTCCTGGGGCTTGTGAAGCATGAATCTCCCTGCCCTGGTCAGGCTTTCTAGGGGCTCTGAGTCCACTGCCATGGCTCAGCCAGGCTGCAGGCCTGCCGTCCCTGTGCCTGTTGTCAGACGGCTGTGCCTCTAGCCCAGGAGAACAGCAGGTCCAGCCTGGGGGGTAATGTGTTTGTTGGGAGGGTGTAGATGGACATGGGTGACACTCAGCACAGCCACCTAGAGTCTTGAGATCACTCTTCATCCTTTCATTACCAAAATTTAAAATTTTTAATTTGGGGTTTTTTTGGTACTGGGATTGAACTCAGAATCATGCGCTTGTGAGGCAGGTGATGATAGCACTGAGCTAAATCCCCAGCAATTTTGGTTTTTGTTTTGTTTTTTAATTTTTTTGTTTCTTGAGACAAGGTCTACCTTATGTAGTTCAGGGTGACCCCAACTCGTGATCCTTCTGCCTCAGCTGAGTGCTGGGATTACAGGGGTGCACAACTGTGCTCAGCTAAGATCAATTTTTTTTGTTTTGTTTTGTTTTGGAGACAGGGTCTCACTATGTAGTTGAGACTGACCTGGAACTCACTACGTAGTCCAGGCTGGTCTCAAACTAACAGCGATCCTCCTGCCTCAGCCTCCCAAGTGCTGCGATTACAGGCATGCGCCACCATACCCAGCACAAACATCAACTTTTGAGATGTGATTCATATACCATAAAATTCATCCTTTTAAAGTATATAATGCAGTTTTTATTATATTCAAAAAGTTATGCAGCCATCACCAGAGTCTATTTTTATCAACTCCCCAAAAATCTGTACCCATTCCACACCCCCATCCCATACCCTGGAAATCATTGACTTACTTTCCATGGATTTGCCTCTTCTGGACCCTACCTTCTTACATTCACTGTGCTGTTGTTGAAGCCTATCCATGTATTCCTTTACATTGCTGCATATTATTCCATCATGTGGACAGCCTGTACTTGGTCTCTTCATTCATCCACTGGTGGACATTGGCTACTCTTTGGTGATGTACATTTTCATTTCTCTCAGTCTAACCTAGGAGTGGAGCTGCAGTTCCCACCGGGCTATACCACTTTAAGTGCTGAGATCACCCTGGTCCCTTCTTGGGGGTTCAACCCTCCTCTATCCCTGACATCGACTTCAGTCTCCTGTTCCCATCACATTCTTTCAACCAAGTGATGCTCTTGATGGCAAAAAATTGCATCTTCTACGTTTTTCTCCCCCACAGTTTTGGCATAACCCAGGGTACCAGGGTTTACAAGAACAAAGATGAGCTCACAGGCAAAGGGAGACGAGAAGAATCAAAACTGGATAAATGGTGACTTCACAAGTTCAGGGCCAGCTGGGGTAAAAGTGCCTTCTTAGCATACACGAGGCCTTGGGTTTCAACTCCAGCATGGCAATTTTTTAAAAAGTTCAGAGGTACACATTGTGCCCACTCTAATACCCCACCCACTGCTAAAATGCGAAGAGGTGCTTCTTAGAATCTTCTAGGCTGCTGTGCCTGAGGGCTGAAGGTTCCTCCCAGGGTCATGATGAGGAACACCTGTTCCTGGCCCCGCCCTAGTATGAGGTGGAAAGAGCTTGTCTCTGCCTGAAGTCCAGCCAGGGGTCCCCATATCAGCACTGCAGAGTGGGCCTGCAGGCAGAAGCAGACTCCTTTGCCTCCTGGCCTTCATCCTCCCTGGCTTCACCATGAAAGGCACGCAGGTGGGTGCTGTCTTCACAGCTTCTCCCACTTTGCTCAGAATAGAAATGAAAGTCCTGAAAACACCCACGTGGCCTGCACACCCACAGTTCTCCTGCCCTTGCCCACCCCAGCCCCACCTCCTGCCCGACTCAATGCCCAGGCAGTGCTTTGGATTTGAGCTGCACTCCTCCCTGGATGACTGCATGCACTGTGGACACCAGGCCCGCCTCGGGGACCACACAGCTGCCACCCACTTGGGCTTCCTGTCTGTCAAGGGCCCTCTGGACCCCCGCTAAGGCAGGCAGCAGGCCGGTGCTCCAGGCAGCCCGCCCCTCTCAAGCACCAGGATCCTGTTTTGTTACCGTCTTGTATCCAGAGCAGTGTGGCCCTCGGGAGGTTGTGAGGACGGACCCCAATTCTGTGTCATTTGCCTTCAAAAGCTAGCCCCGTGCACCTCCCGGCTCATGCCCTCCCGTGTAGCTGTTGTGATGCCGGGGACAGTGTGGAGCACAGCACTGCCCCGCAGACAGCACAGAGAACCTCAGGCCATGCTCCATCATCTTCTTTCTCAGAGCCACCCGCCCCAGATAAGGCGTCTCCACACGGGAGACCTCCTGCAGAGCCTCCCTTGCCCAGGTGGCCTTAGTTTCAGGGCTCCCACCAGGAAGAGGTGCACCCTGGGGCAGTGTGGAGCTGAAGGCCACCTGGGGCAGTTACCCACCCGCAGCAGACAGATGGCAACACCTTTTAAGCCTCTTAGTCTGGCCAAAGCACACCACCAGCTCTGAGCTGTGGAAACATTTTACACTCGTGACTTCAGCATAGGCCTGAAGGACATGAAGGGGCACCTGGGGCATCCCCGGCCATCTCCCCTCTGTCCCCTGCTGTGGAGGGAAGTCCCAGCTCCCAGCTCGGAGAAGGGTTTGAATCACATCCC